GCAAAAGTATGACGTCACAACAATGTGATTGGTCACTTGCAATGTTGAACCTGGAACAACATTTATTATGATGATGTGGGAACAACACCAACACAAGGATATCAGATCGTACTGGGATTAATAAAGTATTTCTTCTTCATCACCATCTATTTTACTTTCCTTTCTTTTTTTATCCAGCAAGGTGTTGGAAGCAGGAAATATTGACCATGTAGGGACATTGATAAAGGTAGGCCTTTTGTATCCCATGAAGCTTTATAGACAAAGTGGTTGGAAAGACATTAATCTCATAGAGCATCTGTGGGATGTTGGAAAAAACAAGTCTTTCTATGCAAACCCAATCGTCCAAATTCCAATACTTAAAAGTGCTTAAATCTGCTACCAACGTCTTGGTGTCTGATGCCACAGGACACCTTCAGTCTGCACAGTGTATAAATAAGAATGGGGAAAATGGTTTACTCAGTTTTGATTTGACACTAATTCTACCACTCTTCTGACTGGATTTGCCATTTTTATAACTGATAGTAACAAAGACAATAATTGATGGTGTATCAGCGATGACTGATACATGACTAACTGTTACATGAATAGGGTGAGGGTGACATCCACATTGACAGCGAAACAACTAGTAGCTCAGAAGAGGAACCATCATGGAACCACCAAGGGTGGTGGAGAATGAAAGATCCTGTGGGACTTCTAGATACAGACAGACAAAATGGTGGTGGCTAACCAACTGGACATAGTGGTGGTAGACGGTCGTAGGGATCGATGTAGCGGTTCCGAATGACAGCAATATCAGGAAGGAGTAACACTGGAAAATTAGGTATGGTGATTCCCAAGCTCAGCGAGTGGCTCCAGCAGATTCGAGAAACAAAATCGGAGATCTATGTCCAGAAGAGTGCAGGATACTACACAGGACCCTCAAGCTCCTAGGCCTATGGTAGAGGACCTGAGCTTGAAGGATAGGCTGCCTAGAGATTAGTGGAATGTATTATGTCCAGGGAAGGCTGTAGTTGTGTCACGATCCTGGGTCATCTAACCCAGCATTTTGAGTTTTAATATATTTTGACGTTTATGGTTTATGTCTAAGTTTATTAGTTAATTTCTTATTTTGCCTATGTTGCCCTGTTATAGTCAAAGGAGCTTGCAAAGAAAAGCGTCTGGACTTCTTTAAGTTGCTTGAAGACGTTTCACCTCTCATCCGAGAAGCTTCTTCAGTTCTAA